GTATTCCTTACACAGCATTGTATACTGTAAGAACAATGGCAAAACCCTCTTAGAGCAGCTATACAAGCTGAATGGGCACACCTAACAGGACACTTCACTCATTTAAGAGGTTGTATAAGGGCTGCAGGTAAAATTTATACAACAAAAGTGTAAGCATCTTGCAGCCGTTATAGGACATTTGCATCAGTGCAAGATTCAGTTTTTGTCAACTATACAACTATTCAGTTATGTGATTCTACTTTATTGCAACCAAACTATTTCTTATGCATTGTATAAACGAAGTGGAGAATATATAACTAACACATTATAGTCATCTTGTTTACTTACATATCGGCCATTGTGAATTTCATACACAGGTATATGATAAACTTCTACACTGTGATATAGGGCTATTGAATTACTTGCGCAGCAAATTTTATTGTGAGTATCGTCCAAAGTAGTTACGCAATTTCTACGGGCTTCGTATTTGATTCATATTTTGATAATGATCGAAAGTATGTCTAGATTTTTAAGATGGAAAACTGAACTTATCTGCGTTAAATCTTCCACGAATCCTATATTTAGACACAATTATACTAATGTTTATCACTTGATATCTGTAATTTCGAACTGAAACATAATTATTAAACATATAGAGGAATAAATGTTTGTCCAATATGGCGGGTGGTTGTGTATAATCATGGCATCGTCCATGTTGTCTTTAGTTTATTAGAATATTTTGGTGTTGCCTGCAGGTGTTATACAACAATTTGGCAAATGTCAGAAATGAAATACCGACAGAGTCGAATGATTTACCTAGAATTTGTACCAGATCTATGAATATCTTCTGTTCGAACAGTTGATAAAACCTTTTTAACCAATATGCATGCGTTGTTTGTCTTAAAACATTGGTTATGGCATTTTAACAAAGATATGATAGCAGAAAGTTAGGTTATGCTGAAGTTGTATACCAACATATTTAGCATATGTACAGCCTTTAACAGTTACTAAACAACAGTTGTATAAGTGCTTCCGTTGGGAGCAATTTGTTGGCTAAAGTAGTAAATTTGCACAGCAAAACAACAAGGCTCGGGTTTGTTTTATAAACGTTACCATGGATGCCACAACACAACCATTTTGACTAACCTGCAAATATGCCGTATAAAATAGTTGTATAAACGTTTATTATATATTTGCAGAAAGCAAATTTGCATTCCACACAACATTAAGCCAGCATTTTGGTGTTCAGGCAACAACAATAGAGAGCTTTTATGGCTGAACGGTTCTTTTACCAAAAGCTTATAGCAATACTTTGCTAGTTGGGCACATTATTATCATCACTGACAGGTTCAGTTTCAGTTTTGAGGATTATTAAAGAAAATCGAATGCGATTGCAAATGCCACCGTTTTGGAAATCCGATGCTGCGGGCTCACTACTACTATAAGTTGATCTGGTTTTTGCGAAGTCAGATGTCTACAAAGTGTATCTGAGTGACGCGTACCTTTAGCCAAGTTGAGACCTTTTTATCTATATTGCATATAGAATACCCATGATGAAATTTTTGTCTTCTAGGCACATACGAGGGCGGTTCAGTAAGTACTTAGCCTCACCGCCCGATGGCGCCACTATCGCAAGAGAAATTTACTATCGTGTAACTGATGCTGTTTTGTGTATTTGTAAAAATATTTTAAATCCATATCATTTCCAGAGTGGCGAAGAGTCCGATTCATCGTGTAGCTCGGCATATTACGCTGCCGTATCCGAGTCCCGCTCAGCCGCAGCCATCTTGCAGTACCAACAGCACCGGTTGAAGTACGGACGTAAGTACAATGTTAGATATATTTGCATTTTACATCATGGCAATTATACAAGTCAAATCGTAATAACAAATGACAGTTGACATGACATTCAAAATATCGTCACACCTCCTAGGACGCTTTTGTGTGGTTTGTTGTGCATATTAAATATATACCTTTCAAGTCAGAAAACTAAGATTCCAAAAACGAAATATTGTTTGTGGCTGTTACATAACTTGGAACGAACGTCACTTTTTTTCTTCTGCTTGTCTGTCCCTCTCAACGAATTCGGACTAGGTTAGAAGAAGCCAAGCCCATATGTCGTTAAAGGATTGTTTGTTAGCAACATCAACAGATCATTCTTTACACAAAATTTGACCTTGAACGAAAATTGTATTCTCTTCCCCGAGTAGACATTGTCGTACATAATATTTTTTTAAAGGTCAAATGCACAATCAGATACGGATTCATAATGTTGAGGGAAAACAATGTTCAAAATATGAAAGAAGCTACCTTTAAATGTAGGTTATTTGTAGAATTGTGAAGCAACTGAAAATACATTCAGAAAAGAGGTTTTATAATTACGGCAATAAAATATGAAGAATCTAATCTTAAGAAATATGATCGAAATAAGCTCAATTCGCGTATATTACTTTTTATCAATTTGCCTAATCACCTGGATGGGTAAATCTTGTGAATGCTGACAATGTGATTGTAAGCAATAAATTAGCCTCTTCTACAGAAATGATGTTAGGTTTGAGTTCCAATGCTGCGTTGATTGCTAGACACAGTTGGGTACAGCTTAAATCGAGTTCAGCATTGTAGTGATCATTAAAATTGATTGAAGTCGAAGTTTGACTCTATATGAGCATGCTTGATTGAAATCGATCATATAAGCAATACACAATGGATTTTTTTGCTTGCACATTAGGTTGTATTTGATAATTTTATTTTTTGCATGGAACTTGAATCAGCTCTGAAAATATATTAACATCATGGGCACTGTAACAAACTAACCCATTTAATATGAACATAAGGATAAATTAAACAATAAAACACCCAAAACCCAAAGGAAAATAAAAATAAAGACAATAAGAAAACATTTATTGATAGTGCAATGCTAAGTCTATACATAGTATGTACAGGTATATGCAAGTATGTGGATAAAACATTACCAAAGCACAATGAAAAAAATAAAAAAGATTGCATTGATTTATTAGTTCACTGATATTGGAATAGCAGCTGTTTGTCAACTTTGCTCTGATCCTTTGATTTGAGTCCTTCAAACTGTTTAGTTCGTGGTAGATTCTTATACTAGGGTTGTCCAAAACGGACGCAGGAAAGTAAACGCATATTAAAACAAGAAAGATTGATATTCAAATCAAGCTGGGTACTTTTTTTTGAAGGTTCATTTATACCATTTATGTATGAAAAATAATATCGCTCAAATGTTCACCACGACTGGATTTACAGACGTCCACGCGATGGTCGAAATTTTCAATGACATTTTGCAACATGGTCGGTTCTATGGCATTTATCTCGGCAATGATGTTGTTTTTGAGTTCTTGGAGGGTGGCTGGTTTGTTGACGTAGACTTTGCTTTTCAAATATCTCCATAAAAAGAAGTCCAAGGGAGTCAAATCGCACGATCTTGGTGGCCATGGCACATTTCCTCTGCGCGAAATCACGCGATCACCGAAAAAGGACTGCAATCGATGGATATTGACGTTGGTTGTGTGGCATGTTGCACCGTCTTGTTGGAAATAAACATCGTCCATATCCATTCCTTCAAGTTGCGGCAAAAAATAGTCCTCTATCATCACGTGATATCGCTCAGAATTGACGGTAACGGCGTCCCCGACCGCATTTTCGAAAAAGTAAGGTCCGATGATGCCTTTTGACCACAATGCACATCACACAGTCACTTTTTGAGGACGCATCGGCTGCTCTTGATACTCACGGGGATTTTCGTTCGCCCAGATGCGGCCGTTTTGCTTGTTTACCGCCCCATTCAAAGTGAAATGCGCTTCGTCGCTGAACATGATTTTTGATGCAAAATTGGCATCAATTTGGCGGTGTTCAAGGAGCCAATCTGAGAACGTTCGGCGCGAAAAATGGTCAGCCCGACGCAGCTCTTGCGTCAATTGGATCTTGTAGGCGTGTACATTCAAATACTTGTGGAGAATGCGGAGCAAACTGGTTCTCGAAATGCCCAATTCTTGGGATCGACGCGTTGTTGATTGTTTCGGATCGTCTCTCACACTCTCCTTCACAACCTGTTGCCTCGAATTTACGCACCAGACGACCGATGGTTGTTTCGTTTGGGCGGTTGTTGCGACCGAAATGTTCACGAAGCGCGCGAAACGTGTTTTTTTATTTTTGCACCATTTTTGTAGTGCTCTTGAATAACTTTAATGCGGTCTTCAATCGAATACGACTCCCTAGCGATCAATGGTAAACATTCAACTAACAAAATGACATGCCAGTGACAGAAAACAAAGATGGCGTCTATGTCAAATTGACGTTTACTTTCCTGCGTCCCTATTGGACAACCCTTTATAATATTTTTGGAGGATGAATTTTATAGTGTCAAAAACATGATTTGTATCATAAATATGCGAACCAAATGAATCTAAGAAAGGTAATGGTATATTTTGCAGTGACTTTTGCATTAATGTGGGAACAATGTTTTTCTTAAATATACTCCCACATGCCTTAGCTACTCTGATACTTTTAACTCCTACTTTACATATGACTATTAAGAATTTAGAGACAGACAGAGGTTATTCGCTTTCTAACAAATTGTGACATGCGTCACACGTGATGCATTTCTTCAAGCATTTAAGTACAATTAACTACACTGCCTGCAATGTATGCAACAACATCTTCACAATATGTAGTCAAATGTCATACTGGAGAGCTTAGAAAGTCCATTTCATTAATTTTTCTGGAAATATCTTTATATTCCTGATTATCCAATAAGTTTTCACCATTTTCATTTTTAATCTATGTGGAGCAATGTAATATGCTTGTACAGTCTAAAGCGACTGCATTAGCATTTTGGCTACCTTTTTAATGCGAGTGAATGAGTAGTCTTTTATAAATGTGTTCAAACTGAAATGCAGTTAGATTATTATTACTTCCTCCTCTGTTTCTAATTGCACTAAAAAGTTTTGGGTATATAAAAATGTTTTAACGACTTTTAATGGAAACTGAAAAGCTTCACTGATTTTTATAATACTGAGTTTGATAATGTGACATTGACTGATACACACATTTTTTTAAGTTACTTACAATTTGTTTCTTTGTACATGAATACTTTTTGGCAAATTTGCAAGCTCTGGTGCTGAAACACTGGAACTGGAACTTGAGCATTGATCTTTTCCCTTAGAGTGTTCTTGATTATTTGTAGCAGATAATGTAGTGGAAGACTGTGAGACATGATGCATAGACCTAAAACATAGACAGAAAGATTGATAAACTAACTGATCATGAAACATTCCCATCTGACCAGAGCCTAATGAGTTACAAAACATATTAAGAGAGACACTGTTGTCTCCATAAATCATGTCATACTTCAGATAGCAATTTCTATTCATTTTTATAGTATTCGAATTAGGGAATAAATAGTCCTGTCAGAAAAGTATGATCCTAAACCCTTTAGGTTCATTTGTAATCAAAATATGTCTATCTAGATATTTTATTAGTTGCATAGTGCAAGTATTATGTATTTAAATGTGATAATAATATACATAATTTTTAATATTAATGCTGAATTAATACTTAAAATTCAACTCACATTTCATTTTCTAGAATATCAATTCTCTTAAGCATATTCTGCAACTCTGGAGCGGATATTGTAGATTTAGAACTTGCTGAAAGTTCATCACCTGGATCTGCAGCCTCATTATCTACTTCTGGTGTCAACGTAGAAACTGAAGTATCCTCAATGTTTAATATTTGGTTAGCCGATGAGTCTGATACTGCATGACTTATGGATCTAAAAATGAACTTGAATGTTCTAACTTTATCCCACTCAATTAATCATTTTCCTCCTTCCTGATTCGAACACAGGGTGAAAAGTGTACTGTGAAACCGTTTTTTTGTTCTTGAAATTATATCACAGGTAAACAACCGATGATGAGATCTGCTTTTATCGCGCTTAAACTGCTTTTTACACAACACTTCACCATCTTCGAAAATAGTCCAAAATGCTATATATTCCACTGAAATATTCCAAAATCCTCAAAACTCTGTGAAAATACCACGAAAAACACACGTAAACATAAGCAAAGCAAAGCTTCCCCTCAATTCTACAAAGCGCCAGTATAAAACACCACAAATCAGCCCGGCTGTTCTTAATTTGCCACCACAGCGTTGCCACGCTTAGTAGGCACATCGTAGTCTTCAGGAAATATCACCAGGATATAATGCATAATGCATATTTCTTGTCTTCGGTGCTTATTTCAGATGTATTTTGAAATGCTGAGTACGAAATCAGAATAAGAATAGCTCAAGACGTTTTCGGAAATCGCTGTGATGTTTATTTTTGAAAAATTATTATAGTTGTTTAAATTTGTGGGAGTTCCGTGAAATTGACAGGTTTTGAAGCTATGATGAAACTGCATCAGTTAGTGGAAGCATTATACTATGAAATACAGGGTGTCCGCAAGGTTGGGGTTTTCCTTTTCAGAAACAACTACCCTTGAAATAACAAAGGTAATGTGTAGTGAAACGAGGGCGACCAAGTAAAAAAAATAAAGGAAAAAGTACTCACTTTCCAGTTTACGAGAAGGGCTAAGTACGTCTCTGCCTGAGATCGAATGTTATTCACCCCATTACGCGTGAACGTAGATTCGACTGTCACCAATATGCACTTCAAAAAGTCTGGATTATTGTCATGTTGATGCAACAACCACTCACAAAACCGCACTCTTGCTGGAAAATCGTCAGGTTGAAGGGCTTGTACACGTTGGACGTTTGCCACACTTTAGTTTTTAATACTTGCACTTCTCTAGCCACGTCTCTAGTGCTTGTAGAGGGATTCTCGTCTACGCGATTCAGTAGTTCTTCCTCAACTTGCACCATTCGTGGTTGTCTAGGCCTCCCACTGTGCCCACCTCGAAATTCCTCCAAATGGCCCGTATCCCTGACTCTCTGGACCAGGTACACAAATCTGGGGGGCCTTGGATGATGTCGTCTAGGGAAACGATCTGCAAACACTCGCGACGATTCTGTATCATTTTGAAGACATTCGCCATAAATTAACAACATATCAACGAGTTCATTATTGGTGTATGAGTGTGCCATTATTATTATTTTTTTTTTGAAACGCAATCGATTATACGGGTTCGTTACCTCTATACGCGTGACCCTTTACCGTCGGTTGAAGGTTGCATACTGACCTGACACACTGACCCCGACCCCCGACCCAGTTCTGTCGTCGGGTTCAGCTAGTAGCCGGTACCAGTCTGGGACATCGCGGCGGGTGGCGGCTACAGGACGGTATTCAGATATTTTTGATGTTGCAGAGCCCTTTATCTCGGTTCCCTTAAGACATTGGTGTATATGGTACTAAGAAAAATTGCTTATGTTTTCAAGATCTACACGTCGTGTAAAGGAAAACCCCAACTTTGCGGACACCCTGTATATTAGCGTACTCAAACAAAGATTTTCTTTTTGGTGCAGGTGTTACAAACATTTTATAACTGTACATACACATGAGTTGTTCTATTTGAAGATACAACATATTGGAGACAATCACCACGTATAACATTTTATGATTATTTTTGCACTGCTCAGTGTTATCATCTTTTGATTGCGTGAAGGTAGTTGTTGATTTTGAACAAGATGTGACAACACCGGAGAAAACAGGTAGCCACTCAAGTTTGTTGTGGCTCTGGATGATTGATACAAACAAATCCTTTCTTTACGTCTTCTACCCGTATTCGAATTCGTTGGTCCCTCTATATACTCGTAGCCCGATAAGTACCGCTCGGATTTTGGTGAGATTGTGATACAAGGTACTATGCCAAGAACAAAATAGCTTTGTAGCTGCGATCCTGGAAATGACTTATTATAGATATATACATATGGAGGAGATAAAACTGTTTTAACGACTTTTAAAGGAAACTGAAAAGCTTCACTGATTTTTATAATACTGAGTTTGATAATGTGACATTGACTGATACACACATTTTTTTAAGTTACTTACAATTTGTTTCTTTGTACATGAATACTTTTTGGCAAATTTGCAAGCTCTGGTGCTGAAACAGTGGAACTGGAACTTGAGCATTGATCTTTTCCCTTAAACGAGTGTTCTTGATTATTTGTAGCAGATAATGTAGTGGAAGACTGTGAGACATGATGCATAGACCTAAAACATAGACAGAAAGATTGATAAACTAACTGATCATGAAACATTCCCATCTGACAAGAGCCTAATGAGTTACAAAACATATTAAGAGAGACACTGTTGTCTCCATAAATCATGTCATACTTCAATTTCTATTCATTTTTATAGTATTCGAATTAGGGAATAAATAGTCCTGTCAGAAAAGTATGATCCTAAACCCTTTAGGTTCATTTGTAATTAAAATATGTCTATCTAGATATTTTATTAGTTTTGCATAGTGCAAGTATTATGTATTTAAATGTGATAATAATAATATACATAATTTTTAATATTACAAGGTACTATGCCAAGAACAAAATAGCTTTGTAGCTGCGATCCTGGAAATGACTTATTATAGATATATACATATGGAGGAGATGTAATTTTTAGCGCATGCAATCGGCGATACTAACAGATTTGAACAATAACATTTTAAAGCACAATATGAAAGACCCGCAGCTTTTGGTCTGAACCGTGTTAACCTGCAGGTCTGAAATACAAAAATAGATTTCTGCCAAGACTATACACACTTGCGCATGTCCGACTTGTAGAAGTAACATCACGGAAATTTAACCTCATCTACAAGTTTTCCATACAGACCTTCATGTGTGCATGTCAGATCATTTATTTGATCTGTTTCGGTTGCACCAATTTCAATACCGTATGAAAATGGGTCATCACACTATAAATTGACCGAAGAAGAAATGAGGTCGTTGATATGTAAGAGGCACAATGTCGGAGACGAGACCGATCCCTGGGGAAGGTGGAATGAAGAGGAGGATCCGTCAATTATGACGGATATCTTGCAGCCAGAGATCAAGTCGACCAACCATCTGCAAAGCTTCTTTGGAAGGTCATAGGATGAAAGTTTGAATCAGGGCAGCTTCCCACAGCTGATCGAACGCTTCGATATCAAGAGGAATGTCATAAGCCTCACCATAAGTTACGTGATGTAAGCTAGGAGGTCCCCTGTGGATTGCTGGTGCCGAAAACCATACTGCTTGTCGCTACTCAAGCCGTGACGTTCGAGGCACTGCAGAAGTTTCCGATTCATGCACCTCTCTATCACCTTTCTTATAACAGAAAGCAGAGCTATAGGCCTGTAGTTATAAGGGTCGGTCTTTTTTTTTGATGGGTTGAGTATGAGCAAATTCCCAGTTTTCTCGAAAGTGCCGGATTCCTAAGATATTTGGAAGTAACGCGAAAACTGGAGTAACTCATCTCAGCACAGCGGCAACAATCAAATCCGGACCAGAAGCTTTGTCGATGTCGAACGAAAAGAGCACCCGTCTTTCATTCTTGAGCTTGAGTGTTACTTCCCATATGGTGAATCGACGGCCATCTGACGTTAGATGGGACCTCCAAGGTGGAGTTGGCAGCAAAGATTTTCCACCTAAGCCGAGTCGGTTACATTGTTCCATCCTGGCGCGTAAGTGGTGGAAGGCTACTCTGAAAGAAGTTTCTTTCAATCTGCTTGGCCAGCGCCCAGAAAGACCGACTCCGACTACGATGCGACATTACCCTATGTCTAATTTTTGCATCGTGTTGGTCTATGGCATTGCGAACCGCATCGTTATATTTGTTTCTGGACTCGCTGTCGGTTTGTCTGTTCTCTACAGGGAGGTTTTGTAAGAAGGTTCTATATGCTTTGATCTTCTGCTGACGTGCAGTGTCACACGATTTGTTGAACCAGCCTTGGTCCCTGATTCAAGCACTTTCGATATATGAGGCACGTACCCCTCCATTCCAACGTAGATAATTTCAGTAATTGATGAACAGACAGCCGACGTATCAGGGTCAGCGTAACAAACAGTCCGCATGTCTGTAATGCCATATTTTTCGGCCTGGGCGAGATTCTGTTGCCACAGTTGGTTCTGTCCGAAACCGTGTGACGAAACGCGGGGACAAAAGTAGCACTTGTCACCAGCTGGATCAATGATTGGATAATAGCGAACGCTGCAACAGCATAACCTGCCGCATCGGTCTTGGATGAGCTCAATCAGAACTCATTATGGTTATTAAAATCTCCGAGGAGGACTACCTCTGAAGCGGGGTATTTGATGTTCAGGAAGTCGATCTTGACAGCGAGGTATTCAAGTAGGTCATTCTAGTTATGGTCGGAAGGAGAGGGATATACGCAGCAGATAAGTTTGCGGGACGTTTTGGAGTTGAGACGAAGCTACACAATGTCCTTCCGACTTGATTCCAAAGAAACGCCTCTGGAGAAGGAAATACTGCTGCCGACAAAAGCTACAAGTCCCCCGTTCTTCCTAAGATATTAGTGCACCTCGTGATTTGGGAAGGTAAGATGGTTAATCGGTGCATAATCGGAGATTTTGGTATCCGCCAAGAAAAGCATGGCGAGATTATTGGATTGCAGGTAGTGATGAACAGCCTTAATGTTGCTGTTAATCCCGCAGATGTTCGTGACACAAATTTTATCATCGATGTTGTTTCCTCGGGTCCACCCTCTACCCGAAGATTTCGTGAACGGAGGTGAGTTTACGTCAGGAATTCTTAGTACTCATCATTAATTTATGTGTTGAGGGAAAGGGAAAATAACCGATTACATAGCTTAGGTGTGGAAACATGCGGACCTTTTTAAGTCACCCTGAAAAAAGCTAGCTTGACGCCTTTTGGCAAATGATGTATCTCTATGTATCTGTAGCGGCTATTTTCTTCTTGTCCACTACTTTCTGTGTATCGAAGAAAGAAACTAAACCTAAACAAATTCAAGCATAGATCACGTGATCGGATTCCACAACGCCGCACACATTAGCATTACAGGGCCGTTCTAAGAAATGATTTGAGGTTTTACGATACAATTGAGAAGTACAGAGTCCAAACGTAATGCTTGGAAGTGATATTTTTTCAAAGTATACCTAACTTTCTTGACCAATAAAAGTCGGACCTGTCGATTACTGATTTAATATGAAGTAATTTACACTAATAAAAGTTTTCCATATCTAAGCTGACGGAGAATAACGTCAGAAAATGTACAAGTCTTATTTTCTGTTGCAACATATTGTTTTATATATCTCAATTGGTTTTAGCTCACAATGGTAAAAGGGGGGGGGGGGGAGCGGGGGCGTAAAACTGTTTTATTTTGTTTTTTGGCCATTTCATATTTAGGCTATATTTATTTGTATGCTGTTTTGATAATTTGTAACTCCTGCCTCAACCATTGTATTATTTCTAAGCCATTCTTGTATTTCTAATTGTCTTGTTGAGATTGTTGGATTTTTCTCTGATTTCCTAGTGTGGTATGAAGCAATGTCTAACTCTATAATCGAATTATCTTTAAGCTTGGATATAGTATTCGAGAACCAATTTTTAAAAAATGCTCCATCCAGTTCTTCATGGAGTCTTCTGTTTTCTTGGATTCAAATGCCGATAAAGCATCTGGCACACGTCTTCATTACCGATTTGGCAAATTATCATTCGCTTTCCTTTTCCTAATTTTTCTTTTAAACTCTTAAAACTGTTGCAAATGAAGTCATTATTTCCATGTCATATTAAAAACCCAACAAAATGATATATTACTTGATTTCTTATCTGGATACATTTTAGGTAGAATAAAAATATGCATGAATAAAAACAGAAGTGAAAGGTATGGTAGGTGTTAGAGCAATAATATTAAAAATACCTAGTAGTTTTAAAATACTACCTGAGGTTTTTTCAAACCAGGCCCTTCAGGAAAGCTTGCAATGAGGAATTTATAGAAGAATCCATTAAAACCTTCGCCTGCGTATGCCCAGCGTTGACCCATGATCTAGGAAATATATTTTTCTACCTTCTGTACAAAATTTCTTGATTTTTTCTAGATATTTTTGTCTCCAGTCAACTATTTCTTCATCTTTTTCTAATAATAAGTTGTTTCTTTCCCTTTTTCGTACTGAATGCTCATTTCTTTCAGTCACTTATGAAAGGTAGGTAGATCTTTTGAAACTTGGCAAATCCTTATTGTCATTGACCACCTTCAGTACTTTATCCACTGTAGGTGATTCATTTCGAAAGAAAACATTGTGCACAATTATTTTCATGGTGGCTCTGTCAAAATCACCTGTCCCATGGTTTATTTTGTTTCTTAGCGGATATTTTTTCGGGTCGGCTAGTGATTGATTAGCTCTGGACTCACTAACAATTCGGTAAACACTTGAACGGTTGGCGCCCGAAATTGTCACTTTGCAAACACTTTCCTCAACACGTTCCTTTCTTGCATTTCGTGTTTTGAAAATATTTTTTTTTCGCTAGTGCTAAAATGAAGATTTTTGGCTCTATTTTTAGGCGGTGTTCCCATCACAAATTTTGAGCGCCAGGAAATTGAAAAAACGGAGAAAACTCTGAATGAGCTCACAGCCATACCGGTAAAAATTTAATGCCAACCCTGTAGTACACACCCCCGTGTCAATCCCCACTCCACCGTCCTGGTTTGCTATTGGTTCTGTGTATCGGCTCTACCAATTATGCCCAATAACAGTTATGCTCCTCCTCTCTTGAAATTATTAATGTCCTGATCACGCGATGATCACTGTTTTGGTTTAATGTCTTTTCTTGAATACACAACAATAATAGCATGGAGCATGTAGCACGCAATAATTCAGTGGGGTGGTTAGTTCCTTTCTTCGATACACGGACAATAGACGACGCGACGTACGCTTATAATTAAAATGTTTCGCCTCTTGGAAGGTAGAAAATAGTTATTTCTGAAGCATACGCATAGAGACTAGGTTAGTGAATATCTTGAAATAAAAAAATTTATTTTTTTTAAACTTTTCTAAACATACCAAAACTCCAATACTTCAGTACACGAGTAAAACAACAAAATACAAGTACACATAGAACAACTGCTCTGAACTATAAGACAAGTAAAATCCAAAATGAAACAAAAAGGATAAACTTATTCACTAAATAAATTTTTTCAATAAGGTGTAAAACCTAATAATAGCATCAATAAAGGATATACCACTATACCAGAACATCACAAAAATCCAATCAGCGGCCACAAAAAAACGACATAGAAAAATGTGGACATCCGCCTTAA